GCAACACCCCAGCGAGAAGATAGCATCAGTCTACCGAGTCGATCGAACCGTGGAAGCTATGACCAGGGCGTGTTTTCAGATATCGAGGGAGAGTTTTCGACTGACGAGCCAGCACCCCCGCGGCAATTCATTCTTCGAGAGCCCACTCCACCATATCCGGACTCTAGACAGGGCATGAAACGAAGGGCATCCTCCCCTCCGCGTGAGCCGATGAGCGATGATAGACATACATTGCACGTTGCTACGAGTAACGGAGACTTGTCTCAACGAAGACTGAGTGGTAATCCGTTTACTAACACACTATCGGTCAACCCCAACTACCCCACGAGTCAACGAACCCTCTCAGCCGCCTCATCCTTGAGCATCCGGACCTCGGGCTCGTATTCGTCTACGCTGTCTATTGGAGGTAGTAGTATGACCAGCCTTTCTCCATACGACCGGCCATCTCCAGGGGGTTTGTCACCAAGCTCCGATCTCGATACTTTCCACGAAAAATCTATTCTCAACCCTAGCTCTCCTGCGGCGGTATCTCAGGTTACTCTTTCAAGACTTCCAGGGCCTGCGTCTTTAGAACCGCCTGCGACAGACGCCACTGGAAAGATGTCTGTGCCGACTGCCATTATGAATGTACCAAAGCCAGCCGCGCCAAAGATCGGCGGACTTTTCATCTGCGATTGTTGTCCAAAGAAACCCAAGAAATTCGACAACCCAGATGGCCTACGGTAAGTTTACACGGTGATGTCTTCATTATATGAGCCATACTAATTCAAAATAGTGCACACGAGATGGAGAAACAGTACGCATGCGCCTACTGCAACCACCGCTTCAAGAACAAAAACGAAGCCGAGCGCCACCAAAACTCCCTCCACCTCCGACGCCATTCATGGTCATGTGCCGCACTTATGAGTTTCCAATCAGCATTCCACCCCTCAGGCGCACAGTCCTGCCAGACAAATGCTGGAGCTACCCACGACACGTGCGGTTACTGCGGAGAGGAATTCCCAAATTTCCCCCAGGCAGACTGGGATCGACGATTCGATCATTTGACCACCGTGCACAAATTCGGCGAGTGCAATAATGCGAAGAAATTCTTCCGCGCAGATCACTTCCGACAGCATCTGAAGCATAGCCATGCTGGCACTAGTGGAAAGTGGACTAATATCTTGGAAAACGCTTGCATGAAAGAAGAGCAGCCGCCGGAGCCTCGCGAGCCGAGGGGGCCTAAAGATAAAGCTGCTGGTCCCCAAAGCGGGGGGGTCGTTGACGTCGAATGCCATCTCGGAAGTTCTTAGCGAGCAATGACAATCAACAAGTCGTGTCTCCCTTGATCGGGGATTTGCTCTACCTTGTGGTGTCAGGCTACAAGACGGCTCCCCGCAAGCGGCTCTGTGCTGTTAATTGCATTCCTCGCTAGTTCATACTCCGGGCGTTGGATGATAGTCCATCCTTGTGGCAGCAATTTTTCTCTTCTCTTTTGGACAATCGAAACTCTATACCCATTCGCATTTACCGATGATTCTGAAAAATAGAATCTTGAATCTAAACCACATACCCTGTTATAAAAAGACAGCACCACCTCAGCACCACACACCAATGATCGCACTCTCACCACACACCTGGGAAATTCTTCATCTCTTACAAAAACACCAAAAACAAAAAAACCCCATTCATACTAGAAAAGGCAAAGTGAAAAACAAGACACTCACCAAAAAGCCATCTAAGGCACAAAAAAAGCCTGAAAATCACGACCTGAAACGAATATTTTTTTGAAATTTCCCTTTTCCACGGAAGGAGAAGGTGGCGGGGACAAAGGGAGTTATATAGTCAGGACTGGGATATTTTTTTTCAGTTGAATCAAAACCTCTGTGTATACCCTTGCATTGCAATGGCCTGGGAGGATTCCTCATATCATTCTCATCTCATTTTTACATGGAGTCGGTTTCATGGTTGGTTCTTCGACTGGGTGGACTGGAATACTGGAATACTGGATGGAATATTTGCGTTCGGTTTGTCTATTCTGGGTTCTTTTTGTTCGGATATACTCTTATATATATTCCCCGCCCGTTTTATACATACTTTTTGTTGGATGGAACATGTGAGGCGAATGGAGGGCGTTGTATATAGATTCTTTTCTTTTTGCATAGTAGCCTTTCTCAAAACATATGGCTTTTATGCCTCTTTAGTTTATTTTGATGCAATTTCTAGCTTCTGGTAGATTTCTCAGCATTTAACGCTATTTTGATACACATGTACATAGTGAATAGGCAATATTCAACCAAAAGCCAAAACAAAGGTAGAAATATTCAAAACGCGAGACGATCTACATAAATCTAATAAGAAAATGCCTGGCCAAACCAAGAAATCAAAAAAAAAACCTCCCAACCGAATTCCATCTACTCAGTAACACTATCCTTAATACTCCGCAATGCACTCATCTTATGCATGGGATCAATAGCAGCAGCATTCTGCGCCCGACGACGCGCATCAGCCCAAAGCATAAACTCACCATAGCCCTTCGGCATAACTTGCACATCCTTCTCAACAAGGAAAGTATAGTTAAACATACCCGTGGACTTCTTCGTACCATGCTCGACATCCCGAACCTTGGAGTCAACACGCACCTGCACCTTAGTGTACTTGGTACTATCACCCTCGCGCTCCTCGGGTTCCGTGTACGCAACTGTGGCGCGCAGGTACAGCACGCTGCCTACGGGGACAGGGTTCTCGAAGGTGCTGGGATCGAGGGCGACGAAGTTAGGTCGGGCGTGTGCGAAGGATGCGGCGCAGCAGAAGGCGAGCTCGAAGGTTTGTTTTAGGAGGAAACCACCGAAGATCATGAAATTGTGGCGGTTGCGGTATTGGGGTTGCATGATCATGGCGGATTTCAGTACTGTGTCGCTCATGAAAGCTTGGTTTGCGGGGCGGATAGCTGGGTTTTGGGGATCTGCGGGCAGGTTAATATTCTTGCATTTGAGTGAGGTAATTAGGACAAGGTTTTGTGGTACTCACTCAGGTAGGACATCTCCTTTGTCCACATTGAGTGGATCAGGTTGCTCTCTTCGGCGTCTGGTGCCTTCTCCAAGAGACTGCGTGTGCGAAGGGCCTTCTTGGCCTTGTAATTCGCTTCGCCCTTTTGGAAGAGGCGCTTTTCCTCCTCAGTCTCGACGATGAGAGGAGCCACGGGGACGGGTCTATTGTCTGATGTTAGTTTGTGTGTATTGCTTGATAAAGAGGAGGAACATACGTCTTGGTAATCGGATCCAGTGAGACCATAGTGAAAGCACAAGTGATCAGGACATCTTCAGGCTTGGCCTCCTGTCCTTCCGGGCGGGCCTTGGTGACCTGAAGGGAGATTTCCATACTTGATCGACCTGTCGCGTAGGTACATTGACCGCTGAGCTCGAGGTCGCAAATTTCCATGAGCGGGTTCTCAATGGTGATCCGGTCACAGGCCGCAGTGACAGTGGATACACCGTCACCTGTGTGACGGTAGGCAACGATGCCGGCTAGGGCATCCAGGTCCATCAGAAGAGAGCCCAATCTAATTGGAATGATCAGTCAAATGCTCCTTTGATGGTTAGGTAGCAAAGACATACCTAATATGCCCGGAGGCGTTGAGATAAGAATCCAAGAGCCATTTGTCTTGGGCCAAAGGCAAAATCTACCAACCAGTCAATACAAACATGCGGATTTCCACCTTACCAAATGCCAAAAAGAATACGTACAGCACTGTAATAGCTATCCGACATCTTCTTCGGCGAGACATCGGGCTTAACGCTCTGCCCAGCCTTGTCCTGCGACCCGGCCTTCTGCGCCTCGCGAGTCTGTGTCAAAGCATCAATCCATGGCGTCTTGACGCGCATGGGCATCCACGTGGGCCGGGATCCTGCCTGAGATGACGTGGAGTGGAAGTCCTGGGTGTTGATACAGGATGGCTGGGCTGCGACTGCAGCTCGCGCGGGTAGCGCAGCCAGAGATTTTGAGCGAGCAAGCGCTGATCTTCTACTGAGGCCAAACATTGTGATGTCGAAGAAAGGAGAACCAAAAATGGGATAGAAATGTAGCTATTCCGGTAGATTGGACTCGGTACTCAACAAAATGACGATGTCCCGAGGATCCGATGTATACAGTAGCCTATAGCGATCAAAAGAGATTTAATTACTCAGTGGCTTGGCAGAAAGTGACCGCCCTGGTCATTAGACTTTCTAAGTCAATTTGCTGGCAATTTCACTTGATTTACTGGGTTTAATTGAATCAAAGGTGATCCTGAGTGCTGAGTATTCTGGTAAAAGATACTAAAATCTATATATTATGCTATTTTAGCGAGAATTCATCAGTCTATAAGTTAAGTCTCTTATGGTCACTGCAACTTGCCGTATGGCCTAACCGATAAGGTTCGTCCCCGGGGATTCTCGGCCCGGATACGAAAAACGATGTCATCGCTTCCGATAGGGGCCGCCGAGGGTATTGATATTGCTCTGTAGATGTGGTTTGCAGCTGGGGGCGACCTCCCAAGCAATGTGTAGCGTACAGGTGCCTGAGATTGGAGAGTCATAACCCGATAACTCGATCCTAGTGTCATTAAATCGAGCTGTAGGCTAAAACCAACTCCCAGTTGCCATACATGTCTGCAAGAATACGACGAATCACCCTTGGCAGTCTTACAACTTTGGACGAAAGTAGCTCTTTGTCATATTGGAGAGGCATTCCCAAGGTTAAAGTTGATAATGAATCTCAACTGAAAGCAACAAGTTGAAATATGAAGGGAAGATCGAAACTCATGATTTGTACCTTGGGAGTTCATTTAAGCTTAACCAAGCTCCGGGTGTTTTCCGATGGCCAAACAACGTCAAAATGAAGTCATTGATAAAATATTCCAAGGTTGACTTATAACACTGAATTCAAAGCTTGGAAGCAAATAGCTGTTTTGTTTTTGCATCTATTTGAATTGATATATTGACTTGAAGACCCTGGAATAAAAACAAACATCTACCTGCAATATGAGCGACCCAACAAACCCACATATCAAAGAGCGCACCACACCTCAATGGGGTCTCTACCAGAGAGAGAACTTCTGGAAACAGAACGAAGGAACAACACCACTCTTCAATACGGGTATAAAGTCTTCACTATGATCCCACCGAAGTTACATAAACTCTAACTTCTACAGATCCTCGAAAAATGGAAGAAAGAGCCAAAGAAAAGCTGAGCGAGGGCGGCTGGTACATGCTACCTCCCCATCCGAGACCAGCAATATCCCAAGACACAAAACCACTAACAAAACCACTACCAGGTACTACGCCTCCTCAAACGCAGGAATGTCAAACACCCACCTCGCAAACCGACAAGCCTTCTACCGCCACCGACTAATCCCAAACCAACTAATCGACACCAACAACCGCTCAACAACAACAACGATCTTCGACCACAAAGTCTCCGCCCCAATCGGCTTCGCTCCAATCGGAATAAACAAAATCTACCATCCAACCGGCGAAGCCGCCGTCTCAAAAGTCGCCAACGAGCTCAACCTCCCCTACTGCCTCTCCACAGCAGGCAGCACATCAATTGAAAAAGTAGCCGCCGCAAACGGACCTTCAGGAACACGATTCTTCCAACTGTACATGCCACACGACGACGAGCTAACCGTCTCACTTCTAACACGGGCCTGGGAAAACGGCTTCGATGCACTGATTCTCACGACGGATACATGGCAGCTCGGATGGCGACATGACGATGTTGCGTCATCGAACTATGCATTCTACCGCGGCTTCGGTGCTGATTTGGGTCTTACGGACCCTGTTTTCCGGAAGAGATGTGTTGCGGACGGGATCGATCCTGATGTTGATATTGTTGCTGCTTCGACTAAGTGGATTGATTCTGTTTGGCATGGACGTGCTTGGTCGTGGGAGAAGATCCCTTGGTTGATGGAGACTTGGAGGGGGATTAGTGGGGGACGACCGTTTGTTATTAAGGGGATTCAGTCTGTTGGTGATGTGAGGAGGTGTGTTGGGCTTGGGGTTGAGGGGATTGTTGTGAGTAATCATGCTGGGAGACAGGTTGATGGTGCTGTTGCTAGTCTTGATGCGCTTGAGAGGATCGTTGAGGCTGTTGGGGAGAGGATTTATATTATGTTTGATTCTGGGATTAGGGGGCGAGTGATATTGTTAAGGCGTTGGCACTTGGGGCAAGGTTTGTGTTTATTGGACGGCTTTGGATTTGGGGGTTGAGTATTCAGGGTGAGGATGGGGTTCGACATGTTATGAAGTCGTTGTTGGCGGATTTGGATATTTTGATGGGCGTTGCTGGGTTCAATGGGGTTGAGGATTTCAATCGGGATATTCTTGGTGAGTTTTGTTTCTGCTGGGATGTGAAGATGGACGCTGACTTTGAGACGCAGAGTCGGATCCGAAGAATTATACGCTCATACCACAGAAGACTTTGTGAATGGAAAACATTCTGGGGTGTATGCTGCTTTTGATTTCCTCCATAACATCCTCTTGCTTACAGGGACAGCTTGTTACCCTAGTCCAGACATATGACTCAACGCTACGCGTCTTCGACTGTAAATACAATCAGTGACTGCCTAGGTGACTAGCTACACAATGAAAAGGATGTGGTTAAACAACCCCAATGTATTCCGTGGGACTTGTCAAGTGACTATAGTGCCCAAATGTTTAGCCACTTGTCAAAGGACACACACGAGAAAGCCCCGTTTGAGTTGGATGCTGAGATGCATGGGCCTCAACAATGTTGATATCTCATGCATAGGCATCGCGGTGCTACAGGGGCCTCGGCCTACACTGTCTCAACGGGTTATCGCAAGAGGGGTGGGGAGAGGAAGAAGAGAAGAGAAAGAGAAGAGGAAGAAAGATGGGAAGGGTCCTTTTATACCCTTAACAATACGTACCTTCCTAAAATGGGCACCTTCCCACTCCATACAGCTTGTCATACGGAAATGTGTGCAATTATTATATATGATTATATATGATTAGAATTGAAAGCTTCTATTATGGGATTTTGGCCATTTGCCAATGATATTCTAGACTTTTGGCTATCTGAATGAAAATAATAGCAAGTCATGTCCAGTTTAAATGAAGGATACATGTCAGATGTTCAATACGAAACGAGTGATATATGCAGCTGAAAAAAAAAAGCCGAATAGACAAGGTGCCTTCAACGTATGTTAGTATGAGTGGGTAATCGTATGTGAACCCGGGTGTATTAACAGAAACGAAATAATGTGCGTGTACAATAATCGACAATATGCACGGAAAGGACGTGGGTAATAAGTGAGTGTACAGTAATACAAAGAGCAGAAATATGATTGCCGCCAAATCAAAAAATGCCAAGAAGTGAAAGATGGGCTAAAATGCAGTTTAAATAGCAAATGCGCCAAGCATGACCGTGAGCATAGACCAGCTAATGCCGCGGATGAGGTGGGATGCGGAGCTGTCGGAGATTGTGGCCATTGTTGAGGAGGTCGATGATGATGTGGGGTCAGCAGCAGACGCGGCAGTGCCAGTGACTGGCGGTGCAGTGAATGTCCCATTGCCCTGGGACGTGGATGAAGAGGAAGAGGTGGAAGATGAGTTTGAGTTTGAGGCCGAGGCCGAGGCAAGCGCTCCAAACCCGATCTTTCCATTGTCGAAATCGAACACGGTGTATACATTCTTCAAAAAGACATCGCCGACAAGCCAGTTTGCACCGTTGGATGCATAGCCGACAATGGTTGAAATGCAGTAAGCCGAACCGTCCGACTCGGCGTTTCCAACATAATCCTTAGGTGAGACGTTGTATTTAACACCAGAGAACTCGAACTCTATGGTAGCAGTCGAGTTGCATGGAATCAAATAGTTGTTCGGGTTGGAAGGCTGTTGGGATGAATGAGGGACGAGAGAAAACAAGGTTTTGGCATCCGCGGGAGGGATCAGGAGGTAGGTGGTTCCGGTGTCGATGGTAGCAGATTTTCCAGTGAAGTTGCAACCTTGTCCATTCACATAGACATCATCCACGGGAATGCTCCAAATTTTCTCATTGGTGGCAGTGTAGGAGATAGTACCGTCGAATTTGGTTGTATCTACACCACCAAAGTTGATTTCCCCATCCTTATTATTGTCTGCTGAGCGAGAGAGACTGAACCCAACCAAGTTTGACTTGATGAGCTTTTTCTCAGCAACAAGATCCATGAAAGATGGCAAATTCCACCCTTCTGTACGCGATCGACCCAAGCCAAGAATCCCGTCGAATGGGTAACTCTGAAAAGTTTCCGAGGCATTGTTGGCTAGACCGAAAGTTTGCGAGACTTCGAGCCCTGCAATTGAGAGGACGTCTTTGCCCATCTTTCCAGAAACCTTGCCGCTGCCATAAAAGAGGCTGAACGTCGAATCGTCGGTGGTATAGCTCGTTGATGCTGACTGGTCGAACTTGTGATGGCGTGTGCAGACAGGCTCAGTGCATTTCGAGTCGAAGACCCAGGTATTGGGTGCTCCAGTGTCGATTGCCATCCACATTTCTTGCTTTTGAGAACCTACTTGAACGGGCGAGAAGTATGAATAGTCTGTTCCGTCCTGGTTCAATGGTGCACTGTTTGCCAATGATGGCTTATGGGATTCGACAATCTTATAGCCATCGTCGCGGCGAACGGGCATTTTTTTCAAATCAAGGGTCCATGGTTTGTCGGCTGTGTTGGATGCGTCGGTACTGTCGGTGCTTTCATCGGATTTCACTTCAATCAAGTTCCATGGGACAAAGCGACGTTCGACTGTAGTTTCCGTGGAAAGTTTCATCCGCAATTCCCATGGATAGAAGGCGTGCACGCCTGAGATGCCGACAATGAAGACCAAACATGATGAGAGATGCATGGTCCCTGGGGGAGTTTAGGCCGAAAGTGTAGAAGCCTGCATTTGATGCCGGATTCAATTGGAGGTCTCTCTATTCAATATAACCGTCGCTGTATGAGGAATTGGGGCTCGAGATGTTGAAGGATTGAATTCAGTGATAGATTGAAATTAAAGAGAAGAACCAAAAAAAAAGCAGACAGGAAATTAAATAACGAATCGTAGAAGGTGAGGAGGTTGGAGAAACTTGAAATGTGACCATGAGAAGATGTGAGGGGGGGAGTGGCGGACATGGGTCTCCACCGTTGAAAAACCCCCTGAGAAGTTGGCAAGAACACCAGTTGGCTCTAAACTGGAACTGGCTTAGTTCCCCCACGCCAGGGACTATCCTCCACCTGTCTAACGCTCATTCTAGAACTGATCGGCTGGTCAAATGAAGCTAGTGGAGTCCAAGCTTAATATTCTTCTATAGGAACTTGGGTTATGAGATATCTTGAATCTTAATTATTTGGTTATTTTTATACCAACTATTGATTATGATTGCCTAGGAAATCCGGGGTGTGAACATATTAATTGTCAAAAGTAACGTTGAAGCTAAGTAGTGAAATAGTTAAACAGCTAAACATCGAGGTCTTTCATGGGAACACCCAAAGACGAAAATAGAACGTGAAAGAAGGAAGTGAAACCCCCGACAGAATGCGACTGTACTTTGTTACCCATTAGGCGTACAATAGTTACAAGGAGCACGGAGTACGGAGCATATGGTCTAGACTCGTAGGATTACGCCTCCACTTGGGTCGAGAACATTTGATCCCGACAACCCTAACAGGGGCCACTTTTATTTTTTGGCAAATACTTGTACTTACTGAGAGCCACTGCGAGCCAAACTATTCAAATTCATTCAAACTTCAATGGCCAGTAACTTGAATGTTGTACGCATTTTATGTATTTCGAGCGGATCCAATTGATCGCAAAGGATAACAGTGGCAAACCAAAAACGGATCTATCATGTAGATCATCGACCAGCTGTGGAGACTGATAAACTCGAACACATCCAGGAGTTTCCATGGCTACATCACAAAACTGTACGGATATCGGGGCGAATGGTGGATCTGTATTTTTAACTGGACAATCCATATATCACAAACCAAGCTATCTAAAAAACAACACTTCGTATACCACTGAATATCTAATTCGAAGTGCAGATGTACACACCTTGCAAGTCTCACAAGGTCTTGCGCTGGTGTTACAAGAGACTGTGTTGGACGGGGATAATATTCAAAACAAAAGACCACTATAATAGCCACACCGTGCGACAGATATTAGTACCTCGGTATATATCAACATTTGGATATTGGCGATTATATACTCCGTGCATCTTAATTTGGTACGAGAGTCATGGTATTTGCTATTGCTCTATCGCAATTCATGTGCTAGTGTCACAGGTTATATATAGAAAAGCCTCTTCCACAGAAATACACATTTTTTAATCGCCTTCGTATACACCTTAGACATCTAAAACAACATCTAACTAGACATTTAAAAAAAGCCACATCAAAATAACATCCAAAAAGAGATCGCAAGACTGCATAAGTCGCCGGTTGTTCTTATATTGTTAATTTCTAGACTTAGGTCGAACATGTGCCTCGAGAAGAGGAACTTTTAGCGGCTTGCCATATGGTGAATAATAAATAGACTGGAGGGAGCAAAGGTCCCCGACAGATGACGAACCGAGGAGGTAGCACACTTTATGCACAAGGCTACCTCGACATATATTGACCCCATGTAGAACCCCATGATGTCAACAAAGGCATAAAACCAGCCCTGGATTGCGGGTAGATCGTGATCGTGATGCAAAGCCACAGACCCCTTGCAGCGCAAACAACCCCAAAGCACCAGCCACCTATAGCCTGAAAAAGGCAAACAAAATAGGCGTTGTCAAAAGAAAAAAAATATATCCAATGACGCACAAATACAAATTCAGTCCCCAGCTGAAGATTGATAAATCAATCAGATAATCACCCCAGCTCTCCCCGAAATAGCCCGAGCGGGACTCCGACCTTCCCCACGAAACACCCGATCCCCATCCGCCCCATCGATCCACGGACAACAGGAAATTACAAAGGGAGGAAAGAAAACATACCTCGGAACGGCAAAGCTATTACCGACGGTGCCGCTAGAGACACGGAAGAAAATAGAAAGGGTGAACTGATTCGATTCTGCAACATGCTAGATTCGGTATCCTAGCCCCGGTTCTTCATAACATCTATGAATATTGCGACGTCATTTTTCCCGAGCTGGATAGGACTAGCGTTGTCGGGATCGGATAATATGCAGTGAATATCACCTTTAGGGTTATTTTGGGGAGTTGGCTCGGTATGGCGTGCACATGCGTCCGGTGGACCGTGGTGGAATTGTCGGCGATGGCCTTGGGAATTGACACAATGACTCACTCTTCTGGAGTAGGGCTGGTCTGGTGACCTCGGGTTAACGGTGGATTTTGATTTAACAGCGGAGGAGGTGTTCCGGGGAGTTCAGGTGGATCTGCTTTTGTTGTAGATCATGCGTGGTGGGTATTGGATCAAGTGCCTCGGCACAACGAAAATC